AGCAATAGCGTATGTAGGTACTAAACATTCATCACGGAAACATGACCACAGAACAGCTCACTTCTCTATTCTGTGGTCAACACGATAATTAAGTACAGAAACCTAACTATTAGATACAGAAGACACATGATGGCGTGATATAGAGCTAGTAACAAATATAATTATACAAATAGAATTCTTACTCTAACTATAAATATTTCACGTCTCTAATTAAGCAACTCGTAATGTTCTTGTATTTATTGGAAACTCAATGTCGTTACGACACGTAGTCATGCAATAATTCTTCGAAGTATTTACATTGCAATGAAATTTAATATTGCCAGTTCCCAAAATCTGAAACTATGCATAATAAGTAGTTGGCTTTTTTAGTCTTACAAGCTTATCGGTCAAACCTAGCGGTCAAGTCGAGTCATTGAATTCTAAATCCCACGGTAGGTACCATAGGATATAGCCAACATGGGGTTAATTGACCGAAAAAGTAACTGTAATAATAAAATGCTTAATGAAGTTATTTATACTATAACATTTAAACTATCACAAAGAGTTCTTACCTCATTTGTCAACCGCCTAAAGTCTTAATTAATTACAGTTTTTATTATATTGCGACATCAAAACTATTCATAAAAGTATTGAATAAATTTTGATAATTTAACCATCTTGCGTCGACTGCATAGTGACTTAGTTTAACTTAGTATTTTCTTAATACTTATAGAGCGGTAGTCGTAAAAGATATTGATACTGTGCCTATAAAGCAGAGATAATACCTATTCAAGATACTAAACAACTTTCCCCAAGAGCAAAGTGGAAATCGAACAGCGCGGTCTCGAGATCGATTTAGTATGAAAATTGTTTTCACTGATAACAATTTTTGAACTTTTCGTACGAAAACTTTTCCGATTTCCGTCGTACTAAATCTTTAGTTCTTGGAGAAAGTAGTTCAGCATACAGCTTCGAATAGCGTCTATGACTAATTTTGTATTCTATAATATAAAATATGAGATATAATTTGATGTATTTTATTTTCACATTTTAAGTTAATGTAGTTATTTATTTGTTGCACCTCTCACCGGAGTTGCAAATTGCCTCTCCGTAGACATGACATGTATACCTACACGTAGCAGGTAACTCCTATTATGTCTAATAGAGACTGCTTAGCTGTAGAGCCGCCCATTGTGTACTTCACCTAAGTATTATTTTTAGATCTTCTTTTTTTTTTATTTAACACACAACACACACACAATAACACTTTGTCAAATAACTTTATAATTAGTGGTTAACGTAGTTAACATACCTATATGTTAACTACATTAACCACAAATTTATTTATTTATTGTCACATATTATTGCAAGATATAAACAGTATATGTAATTTAATTCTATTTCGAATACCCACAGGTTTACATGTGTGTAAGTTTTTAATGGAATAAAATTTAATTATTAAGTATTAATTTCGAAAGAAGTATAACAAATGTGGTAATAACACAGGACTGTACCAAATATGACATCAGATGATATAACGTGTTCCTGACGTTGTCGTCGCTGGTCACTAATAGTGTGTACATAAATACGCTAAACAATTGCCCATGTAAATAAAATAGTGCCAAGTAGGCATTATTTTTTTAACTTACATAATAATCATGAATACAATGCGCATAAGGAAAATAAAGTGTTAAAACTAGTAGACAATAACAACATGAAATAAATAGATAGATATTTCAATTACCTCAAGCTAACTGAACTAAGGGAGTTTTGTTTTTTTTTGCTTTCCTAAGAACAATATTATTCTGAGCAGTTTTCTGTTATATTTTTTAATCTGCGTAGGTATTTGTAATAACGAACACTAGCCGATAAATAATCATAAATAACCGTCATTTCAATTAGCACCTTGGACATCACAGAATACACAGATCACATAAATGACAATATATTTGAAAAAGACTCATACACACTTAGGGTTTGTAATTTTTTGTATTTCTCTTTATCTCTACCTGAAGAATGACTGGGTGGAAACTGAACAATTTATGGATCAAATATAGATTCTAATTTCGTTTACTTTCCTGATGAAAGTTGAGTATTATCGAAATGAATCTATAATATAGAAACTTCACAGTCGTTAAAATTGCGAACGTGTTTACTTATTCTCCTTTCAAATAGGAAAACTATTCTCACTAACGATTTCTCTACTAACATTTTATACACTTACATGAATAACAAATAGATAGATAATAATTTGATTAGTATTTACAGACACACATAAATGGTCAGTTACAAGTACTACCTATAGTATCTACACATACATCACCGAAGATTTAGAACTATATATGATTAAATATGTGTAAACTGTCATGTGTGTGCAATTACAAAATGGCTCATACCTGTGTGGACAAATGAACTATTTAAATCTGAATGATAAAAAAAACTTCAACTAAATTAGTAACAATTTAGCGCTTGTATAATTATAGTGTCACAAATTGGTATATTAGTCATAACCATTATACTTACTTCAACAGAAACATAATAATGAACCCTATTACGCTAGCTATATATATATATGTAGATTATAATAACACCTAACTAAATGCCTAAGCTATTTCTCGCGCAGGAATTATTACATTTGACTAGAGAAAGTTTTGGCGATGGCAATACCTTTAACAGTATTATTAGTTACTCCACCTAGAAATCGTTAATAACTCAGTGATTGTAGATAAAAATGTACTTTACATACATTTTATACAAACTTACGTGTTTTATAGATTATTAAGCAAATAACCTTGCAAGGATAACATGGGCGGCACAGCAGGGCAAAGCGATGATGTCAGCGTCGTGGCGTCGCTTACGTACGACACGTAGGTAGCTCGAGCACATTCTAATGCAAAATTGCAACTAATGACTTTTTTAATTAATTTTGATATTCAACATTATTTAATGTTTAGTAGTAATTATTTTGTAATTTTTTTATCATTACATAGTATAAAATAAAGTCGTTGTCGCTGTCTTCCCGTCCCCTATAGTAGGTAGGTATCTACTGTATACTTAATTCTTTAAAACTACGCAACGGATTTTAAAGCAGTTTTTAATATACATACACAAACAAATGTTGACTGAGTGCGGTCATTGTCTATAACCAAAAAGGGTTTGGTTATCGGCAATGTCCGGACTCAGTCAAACCTAAAATGTACTTTTTTTACAAAAAAAGACAACCTCAACCGTAACAAAACCAGGAATAGTATAAACGTGTGTTTGACGAAAGATGAGCTAGGTAATTTAAGTTTAAATTGAATGTTATGTAAGTGAAAGTTACACGACCGAAGTTTACGGATTGTATGCGTATCATTACATATACTTAGTCGTAGGTACCAACGAACCTACTAGATTAGAGAGAGAGAGCATAGCGTTCTGATGACTGATTGTTTTACGTAACAAGCACTTCATATTTAAGAGCAATTTATTGTAACTCAATTTTCGAACTTAATTTGTTTTAGAAGACATTGTTACATGTATAGAATAAATTTAAAAATTAGTAATTATGTTAATATTTATACTTCTGAGTTAAGTTGAGTAGCTGTAAATTTTATAATTATAATTATAACAATATATAGCTGCGTCGGAAGTTATTTATGATTCGACATATCTACTTTTATTATTTCCAAAATTAACACAACAAATAGATTTATATTCAGAAGCTAGAAGAGAATAAGAATACTTTTCGGGAATCTTATTCATATTTCAAATATATATTTGCGATGTAGTCAACCCATAAAGTCCACAAAATACCTTAAGTCAAAATTATATTACGGTTACCAACATTTAAAAAGAACTCGTGTAGTAACCATCCATAATTTTCAGCTGTACTAATGTTATTGATCGTAACTGGCCTTTACAACTTCAATGGATGTAAATAGGAGTGTGTGTAAATCCGGATTACTCCTGTCTAACGGATTCGAGTTAGTCTGAATACACCGCCAGGGATCGAAAATGGGCTCAAGCCGTCATATTTTGATCCAGTACTATGCTAAAGAAGTAATATTGTGGAAATGTGGGCATTTTAAGTGTTACATGCATCAACACGTCGACAGTGTCTTTGGGCACCACATCTAGGATAAGAGTCGAGATTGTCAATAATGGGAACTGGTGTCCTCTTACACACCCACCGGTCCTCTATAAAAACTATTCGTCGTTAATTAATAGTGACCTCACGATGGACAAAATGATCTAACTTCATGTTCATTCCATCACCTTCCACTGGTGTTACGCCAGCGTATAGAAAGATTTAATGTGTTTATTTTAATGTGTAATAATTACTAGTTAAAAACGAAATATATGTGAAATGATGTATCTGTGCATTCATATACAACAATACTGGACTGCCAGATAGATTTGTACTAAAACATTGAATATTCACCACATCCCAATTCTGAAGTAATATTAAATTATCTATTTCTACAAAATGCTTTTTGGCTGTTTCCCACCAAGTCGAATGCTCTTAGCTACTTTTTTCATCATCGACTAACTGCATAGAAACCCCACGCACCCTACACTGTCGACTGCTACCTAGTGACCTCCACTCCAACTCCACTACGCGCGCCGAAAAAGCGGTCTCAACAACACAATATCCTACCACGTAGGTATTGTGACCTCGTTAACTTTTATGCAAATGCATGCCTACATTTACTACTTAAATCGAGTCACATCACACTACATTAAGATGAAAAATACATTGGTTTGTACATTGCAAATACATTGGTACAAGTAACTTTAACAATATAAAGTATAAAAAAATATTGCGTAGTAGATATTGCTCCAAATACGTACATAGTTGTCGCCAAAATAGAAATTATAGAACGTATTAGAAAACACGCACAGTGAATAACATTACACATTGACAATACAAACAGGTTTTGTTTACCATCATGCTAGTCTACGTGTCGTATTGGCTAAGTAATAATAAAGGAGCTATCATTCGTTTATAAACACTTAATACTTCAAAGTATACAACTCACCAACTCGATGACTTTCAATATACCAGGTGGCGTTTTGAAATAGTCCGTGTTGATTTTAATCCAGTCCAAAGCGCCACCCTGCTGCTGCTGAGGTGGGGCAGCAGGCTTATTGTGTTCCACAGTCACTACCGTTTCAGGAGCCATCATCGTCTAATTAATGTAGTGATTCTGAACCAAATGTCGTACTGGTATCACGTTCACAAACACACTATAAACATAAATCCCTTAGCACACTGTGGACGCGGAACACATTTTTGTACGGCAGTGGCGAGTGTAGTATACTTCGTGCAGCGCACAACTGTCGAACCGAACCAAAGCAGAGTGGCGGGGAACGAGAATAGTGACGAAGGCGTCAGTGCGTTGCAAGCGGCGTGGCTCAGCTACTTACAACTCCGCAACCGCCGACTCCGTCGCAGCCGCCTTGGGTGACGATCGCAGTTGAACGCCGTAATAATTAAATAACGTTATTTAAGAACACAATGTAGGTTGCTGCATGACGCTACTGTTATTATTATGTATGATTGCAAATATAAATTGTCTTCTACATCAAACATAACGTGAATATAGATCATTTCGATTTATATAAAGTATTTTCAAATAACTATAAACAGAGAAAATATACATTTGTATATGCTATAGCATAACGATGGATATTTTCACCTCGACTATATGCAAATTAAATTATATTTTATTACATAACTATGGTTCACCAGTAGTGTTTTTACACGATAATTTCGGAAATTTAATTTTGATTAAAAAATTCTTCTTAACTTATCTAATTGGCCTATCATTTTATGAGTACTTATTATCAGATGGATATCACTATCTTCATTTATGTATACTACTGAAGCGTTATGGAAGTGGAAACCTTATAGTATTGTATTTTCTAAAGATGACAAAACTATTCTTTATACCTAGTAACGAAGGTGCGATAGGATAATTATATTAACAATTAATAGTACAACTGCGCAACGCCATCTAGTTTCAAACCTAATAAACAACTAATATACACAGGTGCTTTTTGTATATAAATACAAAATTATTTATATTCACGCCAGGTCTCTCTGAAGGAAGGTAGCACTGGTTAGAGAATTTTAACATTCATGACAACTGTCATACAATCAAACCGATCGCAAAAACTTCCCTCGTCTTATCCCACATATATTGTATAGAAAAAGCTCGAACAGGCAAACAGGAGAAACAAAGATTATTTTAAACTAGCTGTACCCGCCACTTCGTCCGCGTGGAATTTAGCTTTATTTTCCTAAAATAAAAGTAGCCTAAGTTACTCCTTCTTACATCAGCTACCTGCCAGAAAAAGTCCCGTCCAAATAAGACCAGCCATTTCAGAGATTAGCCGGAACAAACAGACAGAAATTGTAAAGAATGTTATTTTGGTATATGTACCGTATTTATATTCTCATGCATGTAGTAAAAATTTCAATATTACAAACAGACACTCCAATTTTATTTATATGTATAGATGAAATAAGAAATATTTTTAAGTTTTTCGTAAATATCACAAATTTCTACTTTCAATATTTCAATACTTGGATATTTTAGATATTCAAACACGTCACAAATTTAAGGACCTCTCCCACCTCTTGTGACAAAATGTCACAGGTTATTGTCCCCCTCTCATTTAACGTGTGACGTAATTTGTAATGGCTCCTAAAATACCTAAACAATTAAAATTTAACCTACAACAGAACACAGGACGTGTTTTCATAAATTTTGCAATTCAAATTAGTAATTACAAGAGAAATGTACAATTTATATGCCTTGGCACCACACTTTACTGCGTATCAGCTGAGCTCGCGTGCAATTGTACAGAGTACCGGTTCCAAAGAGCTCCAACATAAAACTTTATATAAAACATTCAAACATTTAATTTGATAGTATCAGTAGCGTCGACACTATAACGCATGGACAAAGGTGCAGTTTATTTTACCATTTTGGTTCAGAGCTCTAAAAGGAATAAGTACAAAAAGAATTACATGTACTTAATTTGCCTTATTTAATTTCCTTTTCTTAAGGATCATCAAACCCTTTTAAACTATCCAGAATGGTGACGCCATGGCTTTAATATCCCAGTATGTGTATTCATTAAAGTTAACACATAGAAAACACCGTTTTCCATTTTGTCAACTTTTGACAAGTTTTGAAATAATTGTAGAATATTTACAATTATTTCAGAACTTGTCAAATAAGCTTATTTAAAGTTTGTTTATTAGATTAATTCACAATCTGACCGATAGGCGAAATATATATTAATACTAGCTGACCCTGCAAACGTGTTTTGCAGGGTCAGCTAGTATTAATGTATATTTCGCCTGCCATATAAATTAAGTAATTAAAAATAGGGGTTGGTGATAGAAGGGTGACAATTTGGTTTTCTATGTATTTTTTTATGCCACTTAAAAATGTTTAATGAAAATTTGGTCCAAAAATTTAAAAATAATGTTAGGGGTGGACAACCCTTATCACTTGTGGGGAAAGGGATTATTAGTAATGGGAACTAGTAACTCCCATTGCTAACAATGTACCATGTTAGGTTGCCCTCCACGCAGTTCTCCCTGGAAACCATAGTGATGAATTCTTGGGGAATTTGTCACGTGGGCTAACTGACCTGATCTCATGCTCTTCTAGTCATCCTCCACTGGTACCCCGCCAGCGTAAACCGTTGGCGCAGGCGGGTGCACCATTAATATTACCATAATGGGTTCCTTATTTGCCTTGTGGTATTACAAGTTGGCCACATAAGAAAAATTAAGTAAACGAGTATTGCAGTTTAAACAATAAACACAGTATAGGTGATGACAATTATTTCACATCTACCAGGATAATTTTTTTTTGGAAATATAACTTGAAGATGGGCATTTATTAATTATTTTTAAATTGTAAAAATACACTTCTTTTACTTGTAGAATTAAATAAAACAAGAAAATACATTTTTAAATGTATTACATAAACTTAGAAAAAGAAACCTAGGATTTTCCCTCCAAGATGTTTCCTTCTTGCTTCTTCATGGTCCATGATACCACCGCTGGTGGTAAGTACAAGGTAACTGCAAAAATAGAAAATATCTTTTGTAATTTTTAATGCATCATAGAGTATGTAATTATACAAACATTATTTTTACATGTATACTAACAATAACATAAAATAGATTACTTCAACTGTTCTAATCAGTAATGTTAATAAAACTGTTTAAATTAGCACCCACAATGTTAACTACATACAGTGACATCCTTGGATACCATTTTATTTTATTTTGCACAACATATCAAATGACGACCAACAAGAACTATTGGCGATCCGCGGTAGTTGTGCGTAACATTGACATGCATAATCTTTTTTTTAAGGATGATAATGGGAAGCTGGTCTCACCACTAAAAACCTTTCCCCCTAATATGTATAATGTCATTATGGTCAACAATCACTTCCGTACAAATCTGGGGAGGGCATTAAAAAGTAGTTATGGTTAATGAACAACCCCTTACATTTTTTTAATACATGTTAATGGAATGTTACAATCATCATCAAATCTATTAAACATTATTGACATTAGTTACAAAAATATACCATTTAGATTTCTAACTTAGTTAACTAATTTAGTGTGTGATAAGGGGAACGTCCATAAATTATGTGGATGTTTAAGGGGGGTAGGGGATCAAGTCAAATCTCATCTAATCTTATGTTGCAGAGGGAGGTCTCTGCAATAATCACTGAATTTTTTTTCTGACTGAAACAAAAAAAAATACTATTTTGGTCCATTTAATCCAGATTCTACATGCTTATTATTATTACACTTAAACTCTCAGCATTATTACTAGTCTTAACTAGTCATAAATAAAAGCATGAAGCAAATGTTTTTCTTTTTACAAAGAAACCCACAATAAATTGATTGACCCAGAAGAAATTGAAAAATCTCACATGAGATTGGGAGATGGGGGAGGGGGTTGGATAAAATCTCACAACATCTCACCATTACAGATAATTAAAAAACACCTCACATGATTTATGGACATGATTTCTAAGAGTAAACAATAAATCTACAGAGGCATAACAACATAGTCCTCCTGAATGGCAATGCATGAGGCTTACCATAAACATTACATGTTCATGCCTGTGGCAATCTTTGTATATATAAGAATACATTGCCACATACCATCAGGTGGTATCTACTAATGAATGTTTGTTTTATGAAAAGGGTAACTAAACAACTTTCGTAAATATCATGAAATTTGTAAAAAGTTTCTATTGGTTTTTCTTAAAAATATAAATAGTCTTTCTTCAAATAAACTCAAACTTAAAACAGCAGTATCTTTTTTATTCTTACTACTCATTCTGAATTAAAAATTTGAACAAGAATTGAAGTTTTGAATTGAGTTAAGAGATATGTCTTTAATAGGATTATACAACAACACATTCAAAAGTATATAACATTTTACTTCTTTCGTACTCACTACAAAAATTATTTAAAAACTCAAAAGTTAGTTTGTCATAAATTAAACTGGCAACTGAACTGTATAGGTTTTAAAAAATATATAAAATTAATATATATATAGAAGTTGTTATAATTTTTCTATGAAAAAAGGTTTTTTAAGTTTAAGTCCCAAACTGAACAAAAAGCTACTATGAATACACTGAATACTACTTTTATCTAAATAATAAAATAATATACATAAAAACCAGACATACAAAAGAGGAACAATCATGTACATGTACCTACATAAATATTTTATTTGCACTGATAAAATTGACAATCAACAAATGCAGTGGATTACACTGACACATCACCAAGAGTCTTATATTAACAAAGTACTAAATAATTAAAGATAATTTATCAACATAGTAGAATTATACTACACTATGTAGACCAATTATGTGGTAATGTTCTCCTCACTGAATTCATATACATTAGAAAGTTTTTTGAGGTGTAATAACAAAGTACTACTGGATTCTATACTGGTACACCTGTAAATTAATAATACTAAATAATTCAAGTACCTGGACAAGTAACTTACCCAAACTGTCGGGATGGTAAGAGGTTAGTCCACCTCTCAATGTCGTTGATCGGTACATCAAAACGAGGAGAAATTACGCCACATTTGTTTAATCTGCCCGTGAGATTTACTACTATTTTGCCGGCTCTGTGGTCATCTACAATCTCGAACTCGCCGATGTACCCGTGCTTCATCATCACAGTCAAAAACTTGACAATAACTTTTGAGCAGGGCCGGATAAGGACTTGCCTTTTACCGCGCTTCTCTGCATTGTGGATTGATTTTAAAGCATCACTTAATACATTCATACGCACCATGGCTGGAATATAACCATAAATTGTACATTAAATTACAGGAACAAATATGAAACTACTACCGAACTGTCAAAACAATATTTATAGAAGGCTATATTATTAATGGTCTTTTAAACGAAAATATTATATTATATACATGAAACACAAAATAATTATTGAAAAAATATGATTATAACACATTTTAACGAATTACAATTAAAGATTACCTAGGATTAAAAACCCGCCTGTACATGCGAAAATGACAAGACGGTGGAAAAGAAAAAGATAGGAACATTTTACAGTGTTGCCAATATTATAACTTTAAAATAATCGACTGTACTAAAGAATTAGAAAAAACATTTATAAAGGGCGCCACTGAATTACAATGCACATAATATTAATCAAAAAATTAATTAAAAATCATTATAAATCTTTACTATATCTCGTACATTTTAAGAATGACGTAGAAAGTTTAATTAGATATGCTATACTGCACAACTATTATACACAAATTATGAGTTACACACATAACTCAGAATGTACTGGTATGAGACCATAAAAATTAGAATGCTCATAAAAGAATTGAGATCCCATTTGTCTAATAGTGTGTATTGATTGCTATGTGTATAATCACGCAATATCATCACTTTTGTTGTTGTTCCATATTTGACATTACAGCTACTATTTAATTCTCTGAATAATAAATGCTGTACATTTAATATTCAGAGAATTATTTTTTATTTTCTTCCAATTAAACTTCCAATTGCCTGAATTTCTATTAAAAATAAAATAGACATTCCCTTAATTGTTTTTGTAAACCTACGACTTTGAAAAGTATAACTTTTTTATTGTAAATCACTGCAATAAAAAAATAAATATTATAAATAAATTGTGAATGAAACCACAATAGCAAAAACCAAACAAACGCTTAGATATTTATAATAGAGAAATCAAACTATACACTACACACGCTTGCTGGGAACTTCATGCAGGTGTAAATTTGTAGGTTGTCATTTATTGTTGGTTTAATCAATCGACAGCAGTAAATAAACATCTGTAGTAAAATTGTAGGTAAAGGGTTAATTTTTATGTTATTAAACAAAAGTTTAATAACATAGTCTGTGAAATTTTCATCTTAAATTTCCTAGCCGTTTTTAAGTGAAATCATAACTCACAACCAGATAAATAACCAAACAGACAGTCCTGATCACAATTTTACGAATTTTATAATAAGTAAATATTTTCATTATAAGCCCACCATCGGAACGAACGAAGGCCGTTCGTAATAAAAAATCGTTAAAAAGTAAGCTTTTACCATATTTATGCCTTTTATAAAAAGCATAATCTGTTTTTTATAGAATGCACACTTTTTTATGTTTTTCCTAAGAACATCTCTATAAAATACTGATGGATTGACACTTCACAGATCTTGCAATAGTAATTAAACCCAAAATAGCCATAGCTATAAAATATAGCCATCTCCGTTTCTCATCATACGTAACACGTTTGCGCGACCGAGTAGTATATTCCGAAGTCATACTTATGTTATATTTTTTTAGCTGAATCTGTCCATAATGTTACCACATAAGTACGGAATCACCCAGATGTAGGTGTTATTAAAAATAGGGGAACTTCGGGATATTGAATATGGGGTCAATGAAAGAGAAAAACATGTTTTTGGAAAACATTAAATAAACGAAAATACACAGCTATGATACAAACAAATTTAATATATTGATAAATAACAACGTACTATGAGATACACAAATAGTTATAATATAGACTGTTCACTTTACGGGTATTTTTCATAAATTTTAGGGAATCTGAAGCGTTATTTGGAGTAAAAGAAAGATATATCTGGCAACTATACGGCTTAAAAAAAAATCATCAATAATTTCTCTGATCTGCGTTCAACTGTGTTGTTTTCGGACTCGTTCGGCTCGTTGAACGACCGTATGATACTGTCCCGATCTTGTTCGCGTCCTTCAAAGATTGTGAAATAAGTTTCTTACAAACTTTCAAAGTTAAAAAATTCAGTAAAGGATATTGTATACTCAATACTTGTATGTTTAAAACTAATCGGTTTTTTTTTAATCCTTGTAATTAGTAGTGAATATATATTTTCTGTGTTTAACATTTGAAATGACACAATACATTGAGTGAACTTGTGAATGCTACCTTGTTCAGTTTAATTTCGTTGAACCAAAGATAACTCCTACAAGTGGTAATTGAATGTTGTGGTGTTTTAAATCCTAGCAACCGAATAGCAATGTATTAGTATATTTGGAACTATCTTTTATATGATAGTTTCTCTAATAAAAATGTAGACATTGCCGTAGAAGCGTTAAAATTACGTGTCATGGAAGAGTTGGAGCGGCTGGTCAAAATGTTTCAATACAAAGTGTTTGGAACTTTCTTGCTGTTTATTGCTTGTGTAGTTCAGAATACATCATCCGTGGATAACACAGGTTAGTTATTTTGTCTTTAATAGTTTTATTATCATGGTGCAATTTATTTTAATTAACTTTAATATTTTCTGTAATATAAAAAAATACCGACTAAGTAATGCTGCGTGCATTACTTGTTCGGTTTTTTTATATGTCGCGTTGCGGTCACATTTAAAGAGAGTATGTGACAATGTATCCAATTAGCGGAGTTTATACGTAATAATATATCCTGTATGTAAATGACGAACCCCTCATATTTCTGATATTCATCAGTTAAAAAAATATCATAGGCAAAGGAAATAACTTGAAAATAATTTATCATAAAATTATAAATAAATTATTTAAATTTCCTACCTTTTTATACAATTTTGTCTGTGATCACACAGTTTTGTGAGGTTTACAGTCAAAATTATTACTTGATGACTTTTCAAAATTCCTCCATCCTACAAAACCTATATCTAAAGATTTAATTATTTTTAAAACTAGATTAAAAATATAATCAGAATCAATATTACTTCCTTTAAAGAGTAAGTGAAGGATAAACCTGGCCACTTACTCCTAAATTTGATGAGAAATATTGTAATTGTTATCGAAAACTTTTATATGACCAGAGACATGAAGAGGGAGTAATCTATTTAATGTTGATGCACAAAAATAAAATTTACATATGCCAGACGTAACACCAAGCGGCTTTAAGTCAACCATGAGTGATGCAGAGAAAGATTGTTGATATTTCTTCCATCACCAACATACCAAAATACTACTTGTTTGTCCTCAAGCATAAATAATAATAAAAATACCTGTATTGTTTTTATAAAGTAAATATTTGTGTAATTGGAATGCTGACAGCCCACCTTTTGATTACTGGTAACCATCACTTATATAGTTCTTATGAATGATAATGGAATGGTGCACCCTCTCACCCTGGTTTCCAGGAGGAACCATGTGGAGGTCAACCTGGCATGGTACATTGCAATCAGTGGGGATATTAGTCCATATTACTAACAATACTCTTCCCCCCAAATCACTTACATAGTTTCAGTATACGAAAATATGGGCAAATGTGGAATACACTCCAAATCTTGACTCTAACTTAAAGAACACTGATGGTTAGCTAGGTATTGTTCTTTTTTTATATCTACGATAATGGAATGGCGCCCGGAACCCGCCTGCGCTAGTTAGGTAGAGTTGCTAACCTTAAAATATTTAGGCTTGTATAAAGAAGTCGTCGTCGTAGTTGTAGGCCCAAATTGTACAAACTAGATGTTCTCTCTCGTACGCGAAAATAAATGTACTGGTACCGAAAACTAATAATCTCGCATCTGTGCGAGGATACTTAAAGATAGGCATTCCTATCGCTAGAACTTCATACTACAGCTCAAACTATCGTAATTTAGATCCGAACTAAATAGAAGATATTCACGGAATAAAAAGTTAAAACTGATTATTAATCATGTTTTTTTTTAAATCAAACCGTTTAATGATTGATTCAGATTATGGGATCGTGTTATAAATCTTAGAAAAAAGCTACCTAAATTATGACACCATAAATCTTAGAAAATAGCTACCTAAATTATGACACCGGATATGTTCTGGTGTAGTGATGTTCAGTTTTCTTGAATAATTGACGAACATAACTGCCTTCGTATGCACAAGCAAATTATGAGTTCTGACGTTAATTCATCATTGAATATTTTAGCACCACTCTAAGTTAGCAAAGTTCGTTAAAGTCCTTGATTGAGTTGTTTTCCAGGCATAGAGCTCTGTATAGAATAGACATTGTAAACTCCTACACATTTTACAGAGTGGTCCAGTTTTTTCAGTTTTCTTTTTTATCATACAACATATCTTGAAGTGTATAAAAAAGATAAGAGTACTTAAGTTAATTAAAACATGAAACTTCATTCAGTTGAAATTTTTAAATTTCTGCAAAATATCCTTGAAATATAATAATTACTAAGCTTTATGTTTTTGGAAATATAAGTATACATATAATGAATAATGCAAAAAAATACCACCTCCCCTCATCAACAAGTTTCAGAAGTGAACAATCGGTAATAACTACGTAGAGAGAAATGGTCTGTTTATCACCGTGGTTATTAGTGGACCGCCGTCTTTAAATTTACGCATTTTTTAAAAAATAAAGCTTTTTGTATGAATTAATAGTTTAACTGAATAGAAACTTCAAACTTATTCATTGAAAAACTCTTTTATGTATTTTATCTAACTTTAAGTATTAAATGATTAATAAAAGTGACGTTTTTTCAGTTCCCGGACACTGCACTCATTTTTAACTGCATTTTTAAAAAGATTTCTTTAGCTATATGTTAAGGTCGAAAATAAAAAATGTGTATGTACTTTATGACACACAAAACAAGCAAGTGCACTATAACACAACTACTTCGTTATATGATTTGATTTGTAAAACAGTACATTTAAGTTAAAACCAGCGACTTATTCCAATAACATACTTGTTCTCTCTATCAACAAAATATAGATAAATTTTATAAAAAAATAAAACCAATAACATTAAGTATATCATTAGAATGCATCCGGACAAAATTATTAATTTTCTATAGAAAAATCAATGGCCGACAACTGATACTTGCGTTCTGGTGATAAATAATTAAAATGATGAAACCGTTAATATTTATCTTTTTCCGTTACCGTTAATATATATTCTTTTATTTTAAACCTTACGTGTAGCTAAATAATTCTTTTTTAGTTGAGTTTTATATGATAGCACAACCGGTCGTAAACTGACCATTTGACCCTACTTGAATTAGAACAAAATTGTATGTAATTGATACGAGTTAAAAAAACAAGCAAACACACATTACCAAATCTGAACGTTTAGTAATAATGTCGTGTAGACAAAACTATTTTAAAAAGTATAATAATTAATGATAGTCCTTTTTTATTGGTTATCTATATAAGCAATATCATATATGTACATCATCATACAAGGACCGTGTTCTACTTATACTCTACTAGAGGGGCGTATTGAACTCTATAGTATGTAGTACTCTATTTATAGGCGTTAGTTGTATTATTACATTGTCAACCATGATAATAGGGAAACAACATTAATGTCCGACACCAAAGTATGACACAAATGAGTGAAAGATCCAATCACTTGATAATATAAAAACAAACTTCCCCACACATAAAAACGTTAGAATTCCAATTTAAATTGCGTTTATAATAATTGTACGTTACTTGTTCATTATAGCCAGAATAAAGTAATATTTAACCCTTCTCTTAAGAAAGCCGGTGGGTGCTGTGAGCGGTAAACATCTCATAAAGGCTCACCGGCTTGCGCCACAGAAACAGTAACAGGAGCTTCTTTCAATAGCGGTTATTAATACTGAAACAGCTTCCGAGCTGTACCGTTAGTACTGCTATGTTATGTTCTATCTAGTCTGTTTCTGAATAGTAACAAACTACAACAATTTAAAAATGTCGTAAATAAATGTTTAGTCACTGAACAGACGAACAATACTTTTTAGGACGAGCGAGTCAACAAGTATTTTTTACTGAAAGAAATTGAATTTTTAATTTTGTTTCCGTATATCATCGTCAGTAGGGTACCCTTAGAATTGACATGTTTAGATTATTTTTATAACCAAATTTATTTGCCGTTTTCTTCGTATCCTATAAAATATTATCAATATAAAATCAATTTATGGTTGAATGAAACATCTTTACTATAACGAAACACTTCAAATGCTCACATTTCGCTAAGCAAATTTAAATATTTATATATATAAATATATTTTATTAAACGTAACAAGCGGCGAATTTACCGCCGCGTATCAGATGAACTTGGTTTGTAAACTTTGTTTACGTCACCAGGAAAGTTAGTCAGAAATATAAATTGAACAAAGCTTATTAGACAAAGCAGATTAGAACCCATGACCTTTGTGGTCTAGAAGTGGGATTCGAAAACCATGACAGTACCAATGCTCGCACGCTCTGGAAGGATACCGTAAATAATCTATTATAATAATAAATATAACTTTTATAGCTACTATTACTAAAATGAACAACTGATATAACACTAGTTTTAAGATAGTATTGACCGACCCCAGTGTGACACTTTCGTTTTATACATCCGTGACTCTTACCAATATGTGAAGCAATGATTATTATGATTACTTAATAGTTCATAGATAAATAATAATTCAACTACAATATTATGAGTATTTCCCGAAGTTTCATCAAGATAATTGTTCTTCCCTTATTCGTACAACCTAACAATGTAATGTGCAATTGTGGGTTCGTGAAATATTTTTTCGTAGTGCATATGACTGCCATAATTCCAATTTAATCTAGCATCTTACATGGCTCAAATACGCATTGGCAATAACAACAAAATTGAATATATGGTATATCTGTAATATATAATTGATTTCTGAGCGTGTATTGTATATTTGAACGAATATTTCCACTTTGCAATTCAGTGTGTGTGTGTTTACATCATTAAAGCCTTCAAAGTTCAAATATATATATGGATAGGTATGACTAACACAAGGCTTCATACTCGTATCATCATCAGCCCAGTGCAGTCGACTGCTGAACTTAAGCCTCTCCCAAGGCACGCCACTAAGCACTATCTTCAGCTTTTCTCGTCCAGCAAACGTCCAAACGCAACCCAACGTATGTCGTCGCTACACCTAACCACGTATACTCGTATACTCTACATAAAAAATAACACAAACATATTTATTTTTCCAATAGGTTAGGATGTTATTAAATTGTGTTTTGTAGGTGTCGTAAGATAGTTTACGTGACAGGTCTTGGAAGGCGAAATGACATGTTGGGATGACAGTGGCTATATCAACCCTTCTTAATTATTCAAGTGACCCAACCAATTCGTGATTGTGTGGCTACCGACGATACACGTGCTCCGCTTAACAAACGAGGCGATCGGTGAATTAAGTTTAGTTTACGAATTATATTGGACATAACATTATCATCTGATCTATTCCTTTCAATGGTTATAAATCTTATGTCAGACC